ATCGTAGATAAAATATATATTGCTCTACACTCCCGTATATCCTGAAGGTATAATTGTTGCCTTGATGATAATTTGATATTAAAGTCAGTATAACCAAGAGATCTTCTTATAATTCATTAATAATTTGACTACTTAGTTACTCGAATCTACTTTAGCAAATCGACATGGAGATTCACATGAAACCCTATCCCTGTTGAAATTTACTTACAAGGAAATAGTTTATCTGTGCAGATCAATGTTTGACAATAGTGATAAACGCAAAGGATGAATATAAATATTCTGTTTATATCCATGCAAAACAGAAATATCAATTGATAGTGATGTGAAGATGACCAATATAATTCGTCTGCTCTATAGCTTCGAAAATCATTGATATAGATATCCAGATTGTAATAATTATTATTATTCGATTTCAAAATAGGAAAAATTTTACACAAATTCAATCCTCCACCAAATCTTGAACTAACCCTAATCAACCATGAATCTACTTACAATTCTGGCGAAGGAGCATATAAAATGTCTGGTGAATATGTCCCAAACTTTTCTCAATCTGAGACGCTTAATATTTCCATATATTGAGTTGTAGTTTCATTTATCGGTTCTTAGCAATTCCAAATAGGCCTCGCTATCAATGACATAATTTTCAAATTCTCACAGACGGATCCAGGTGATGTTTGAGATGGGCCATAGAAAGTCAAGGCTCATTAAGGATAGCAAAAGTAACTTCTGACACAAATGTTTTTTTTGTTGATTCTAGTGAACATGAAATCATATTCAGTTCCCTCTCGAGTATCGAAATTCCTGTTGAAAAAAGTTCAAACTGATAAAAAACGCCCCGCAGGCTATTGATTATCCGATTCTGAAAAATAAAAACGCGAATGAAATTATCATCAAATACTATAAGTATAGAGTCTGATCGTCAGCAACTGTAAATTTTTTTATCAAACGACATCATATTATGTTTTCAACTTTCATTCCATCCGCCCGCTGTTTCAATCACATTTTTCATTGTGGCACGATAAAGTCAGGCGTATCTCTAAATATTCCATTTTCTGCTTAGACAAAAATATTTGAATTCGGCCAAGGGTCGCCACGAATTATTTGGGCAGTTACTGTACCTACTCATATGACAAGATGACTCTTGGACAAAATTTGTTGAAAAAATAAAACTTTGTGATGTCATTGAATGTGGAAGTAATGTAACTGAAATAAACGTCAAAGTTTCATTTGTCAGATTTATCGACACCGTATACAGGGTGTTAACAAATAAGTGTCACAACAAAAAACTGTAGATACCTCATGAAAAAAGAAACATTTATTTCCCTTTCGAAATTTTTCTCCGGGCTTCCGTTTTCCAGATACAGGGCGTCCAAATAATACAAAAAAATCTGTTTTATGCTACTATCTTAGGAACCGTTAGAGCCACGGAGTTTAGCTTTCGTACACACTTCATCATCAATAATGACTACTTTTAGGGCTCTTGCTCAATTTCCTTGGACATGTCAGTGGAGGAGAATTCAACGCCTTGTAAGGGTTTAACCCCCCAAACATTCATGCCACTGGAGAAATTGTAATTTTCAAAGTACATTCTGAAGAGCCAATATCTTTCAAACAAAAAACGTCCTCTTGTCTCAATGCTCTAAAGTGAATAGTTTCTGCGAAAAATGGCTCTTCATGAATAAGAACATACAAAATCCTGATGGTATCTCCTAAAATCGTCTAAAAATCCACTGGAAATAAACACCTCAGAACTGTCTAAGAATATGTTCAATCAAATGTCAAGTTCTTGAGTATGCTGGTCTGGATGCTGGTTTTCAAATCGTCAAGTTTATTAGGTGTTGTAAAGTGTGTTGAATTAAACTGAACATTTTTCATTTTTTTACGCCCTGTATCTTGAAAACGGAAGCCTGGAGGAAAATTTTGATGAGGAAAGAAATGTTTCTTTTATTATGAGGAATCTACAGTTTTCCGTTGTGACACTTATTTGTTAACACCCTGTATATGAAATGAGAGTTTAACATAAGGGCAAGCAATTTGAATATTTCAGTATTTTTTACAGCACACTCTGAAATCACATGCGGTATTGAAATATCTGACAAATGAAACACTGACACCGAGATTAATAGTAATTTATATACAAGTTAGTAAAGAATATCATTATTACATAGACCATAGACCAAGATAGACCTATTGTTACTATTGAAGAAATTATTTTCAATACTTAGCCATGGCCATGACAGCATATGACAAGTTATAATTGATAAATATCAACTAGATTCGAGTGCCATTCCTGCAAATATCTGATCAGGACATTGCATTCGGATTAATTACAACAGAGGTGGCTATGTCTTTATCAACTAGTGGTTCATAAAATGACGAAAACTACATTGAGAGTAAAATCACGCTTTACGCCTCGAAATGAATAAATAATAGTAGGTTTCATAGCTCTAGTGGTGGAAAAAAATATGCAAGGTGTCATCTGAAAAAACAGTACAGGGTGCACCTCTTAAAATGGAGCCCCTTCCTCTCCTCTTTTGTTTTCAGAGATCTGTGAAAATGTTGAATCGGAAAGTTGTTTGGAATGACTCAAACTTCTATTTCGTGAAGTTCCTTCATTTACAGGGTCATTCTTTTGGCCGGTGTTGCATATTCGAGTGGAAAGTAATTGAGTTATTGTTTATCAAAGTTTAACAAAATACCGAATCTTCCATTCAAACTGTCTATTCATATTTTTTTGAATTGAGATTGAACGATTTCAAATTCAAAATAAACAATACTTCCATGGAGCTTAAACAATATAAAAACGTTATTTCAAAGTCCTCTATATTCAACTTATGAAGTGAAGGTTTATAATGCGGTATTTTGGTGAATTTTGATCATCAATAACTCAACTATTGCTCATCCAAATATGCAACTTATATATATCTTTGAAATCATAAAAAAAATGCTCTATCGACATGTCGTAAATTATATAGTGTTCCATTGAAAAAATCGAAGTTGATGTTCTTTCTGGAAAAACGAAAGACTCTGTTCATGAAACAGCTTCACGAAATGAAATGATACAACTTTTTTATTCAACATTATTTCGTATATCTGAAAACGAAAGAGTCAAGGGGGGATTCCATTTGGAGAGGAGCACCCTGTAGTCGCGGACGCTTCTGTTGAAATTTAAAAAAAATATATTACCAGAGCCTACTTATATCTGATGCGCCATTCAATATAAGAAAATGTTCCTCTCAGAATTCTAATTCTAATTCGATATCTATAATAATGTAGGCCACGGGTGGATGGGTATTATATAGGACGTTCACATATAATTTTCTGTATCCAGAATACCTATACATCTTTACATGTTTATGAGGTTTGTGAGGGGGAGCCATGTGGCCACTTTCCCCCCTAGATTCGCCCCTGAATTCTCACTTGGAATGAAAAATCAAATATGTTATTCTCTCGTAGACAGACCATAATAATACGAAATGATTCCGTTTCTTAAAGAACTTTATTGAAGGTATATACAAAACTGATGAGATAAAATTTCAAATATGTTCTAACCAATACAAAAAACAAAAATAACAAGAATAAATTGATTCAATACAGCCACTGAAGTACCATTATGGCCTCATATCAGAAAATATTGCACAGTCATTATTTTAGTTTTGTCGACATCAAATGGAAATATATGAAAACATTTTGCTTATCAATAACATATCTCAATAAAATGAAAATGATATGAATTGGTTGTAGCTATGGGAATCATAATATCAAATTACATTCTCTTCAATCAATTTCTCAATCTGGTAGATTTGTTCAAATTGAAATAAATAATTGTCAGTAAAGTAAATAGGGAGAGGAAGAAAAGAAAAATTGGAAAAATTGTTTCCCTTCGAATAATCAGTTTCTCAATATGATGAAGACAACCAATTTCGTTTTCCAATAAAAAAAGCAGGAAGAAAGAAGCATAGATCCTGAATTATAAACTAATTGAAGTTTTACAAAAAACAGTTTTCAGTTCTGTAGTGTTCCAGTAACAAAACTGAAAATAGTTTTTTGTTAGGAATTATGGAATAGTATCTACCTAAAATTGCTTTTCAGTGCTGTTGGTTTCCATTACCAATACTGAAAGACAATTTTTATTTAGGTACTATATGAATCGATTTCATCCAGATTCAATATTTCATAGCTACTCCGATATTGAAGATTTGTTTTCCAAAATTGAATAAGAAATAAATACTTGGTTTGAATACCAAATCACATTCCACCACCAAAATTGTATTGAAGTATAAAGAATTTTCATTAAAGTAAATAGGGAGAAGAAGAAAAGAAGAAATTAGACGAATTGTTTTCCTTCAAATAATCTGTTTCTCAATATGGTGAAGACAATCAATTCCATTTTCCAATAGAAAGAAGCAGGAAGAAAAAAGCATAGATCCTGAATTATAAATCAATGAAAGTTTTACAAAAAACAGTTTTCAGTTTTGTAGTGTTCCAATAACAATACTGAAAATAGTTTTTTGACAAGATTTATGGGATAGTATCCTCCTAAAATTGCTTCTCAGTGTTGTTGGTTTCCATTAAGAATACTGGGAGACAATTTTTATTTAGGTACTATATGAATCGTTTTCAACCAGATTCAATATTTTATAGCTACTTCGAGATTCCTAAATAAATAATAAAATGAATAAGAAATGAACCGTTGGTTTAAATACTAAATCACATTCCACCACCAAAATATTCCATTATACAAAAAATATACTATATTTTTAAAAGGGGAATCGGAAAGTTGCAATTCCGGGAAAAAATCGGAAAATTACTTAGCTACGAATATTTATATATCAATATCAATACCTTATCGCTATGAGAATGTTATAACTATATTTCATTTTATAAATATTGGCAAATTCAACATTTGATAGCTGGTAGTGTTAGGTTAGGTACTTTAACATATTGTTCCTACTTAACAATCTTTTCGAGAAATAGTGTTCGGCGTATTTTTATTAATTATTCTATCTTATACATAACTTAAATTATAGGTAATCGAAGTAGCCATAAATTTAGTGATAGCTATCATGGTGAGAAACGAATATTTAGAATCAATTATCAAATCAGATATTGAATAGCTTTCATGAAGAGGCGCAATTTAGTTGGAATTGGGATTGGATTATACTTCAGAAAACACGAGTCATATGGATAAGAACTATATGAAATTAGATTGAGAAAATTAAATAAGAGCTCTGATTCAATTTGTAGATTTATTTGATATTATCATATTTTGGTCATCAAAGGTATTTGAAGGATATTGATAGATGAGCCATCAATTGATTTGTTGTTAGTGCCAAAATGTTTCACTATATCCATTACAATTCTATAAAAAAAGTGGCATATCATGTAATGTAGATCATGTCGTGAAATAGATTAATATAATCTATCTCATTGATACATCCGAGATGCATTTTCAATGAAAGTTAACTTTGTGTAGCAAAATAAAAACTAATTTCGATAATTTCCTAGTTTGATGATATGAGAGCCATTAATCGAAAATAGTACTAAACAGAAGCAGATACCATGTAGAATTTGTAAGAGATATACTTACTCTTGAACGGTAAATATGCATCAATTTTTTTTTTGATTATTTCGAAAATTATCCCTCGTCTTCGACTTGGAATAATTTTCAAAACATCCATGAGCTCGAACAAAAATTTCCGAAAATAATTCGACCTCTAGTGGTATTACAAGTGATTATTCGTTTGAGGGAAACTCCCTCATTATATCTCTGTCAAACCCTCTTCACCCCTCCTTCATGCCTTCTTATTTCCTGATCCTGTTAGCACAGTGAGGCACGTGCTCAGGCTCCTCACACGTAAGAGTCGATTCGTCGAGTACTTTTCCCTCGCCGCACGTGATCAGACGGGGATATCCGTTGACACAGGTTATGAGACGATGACAGTCCCCAGGTACAGCGAATCGCGGGTATGGCCAAAACTTGGCAGCTGGACTGTGAGACGGCACTTTGGTGGGGCACTTGAAGCCTACAACGGCTGAAATCGGAAATTTGGAAGGTTAAATTGTTACGTAGCATGGAAGTCGCAGGGTGGTCGCATTGTGAAGTCTTAGGTCGCAAAGCGAGCTTTTTGTGATGTTGTAGGAATGTTGCCTTTTTTCGAATCTGGGAAAGAGTAGTCTAGACTAGAGGGTGAGTCAGAATAAGACCGACAACCTTCGTACACGGATTCCTCACTTCATTTTTAGGTGAGAAGATTTCATCAACGTATGTCCTAAAATACATCTTCACTAAGATACAGGTTTTTTTCATGTTCTGGTTCCCACGAGAAGGGATATCCTCTAACGTTCAGAGAACATCGTGAGAACCAAGGAAAATAAGGTAGGAATTGGTGTTTTTCACAAATTTCTAGAGGTTATATGCCTCGGAGAACACCTCCCTTGGCGATATATTCCAGAGCCTCGCTGTTCGTTGGATGAACAAGTCTTTGAAGAGAGATGTTCCGCAGGTCTCCAAAGTGACCACGAAGAAGTGCGAAACCTCAACTCGACGGGTTAACCTCGCGGGGACTGCCAAGGGAAGAACGATTGTTGATATTCCAGAAGAGCATCGTCCATGGAAATATCTATAAAATAGAGGCAGATCGACAACTTTTTCAAGCTGTTCCAAAGAAGTGAGTGAGTTTGTGAGCGAGGTATCACCCACGAGCCGAATTGCCCTTTTTTGGACAGAATCCAACAGTTTCAGAGTATGTTTGGGTGCTGCACTCCAAATATAGGAACAGTATTCCAGGACAGGTCAAATCAGTGCCTTATAGATCATAAGCAGCTGACTACAAATGAAATAGCTCCTGGCCCGAAACAGAAAACCAAGTTTTTGGGATGCATTTTTAACAATTGATCCCACGTGATTTTCCCAAGGAAGGTTATTGCTGATAGTAATACTGTAATATACGTTATTGTTGTGTATCGATGAGGATCGATATTGAAGAGGCTTTTATAAACTTAACACTTTTGTTTGCTATTTATTTATTGTTCAAGAACATACAAATACATTAACCGGTATCTATTGACTATTGTACGAACAACATGTAGTAAAGCTCGACCGCGAGAGAGAGGGCAAACAGGGGTTGTGCCATGTTGCCAGATCATAAGGATATATACATGACACGTCCCTTTTCAAAAAGAAAAATGTAAAACATTTGACAACTACAAATCTAATCTAGTGGGAGGCTTAACCACGCGCCCACTACGAGTAATAATGTTGTTTGGAATATCATTATTATGTTTATCAATAGTAGGTTCTTCTCGAGGTTCTTCTGATGAGAGCTTCTCGATTTCCTGTAGTGTTGGATTGAAATTTCCATGTACATTCTCAGCTCGATTCTCAGTATCATTTGATGATTTTTCTTCTGGTTCTAGCTTAGTTGACGGTTGTCTCAAAGGTCTTAAGTCTATTCGATTTCTTCTGTATTCACCATAGTCAGTCTGAACCTGATAGTCGTTTGGTCCAGATTTCCTCAGGACTTTTGCAGGTTTCCAGTCACGATTTCCTTGTTGCATCAAAATGTCTTGGTTCGGTAACAACTCAGGGAGCGATTTTGTTGAGCGATTATAATATTTAGCTTGCTGTTGTTGGCTACTTTTCAATTTTTCCTCCAAACCTTTAGTGGAAAATTTCGGCTTCAGAATATTTTTGGGAACTGGAAGTGTTGTCCTCAATCTTCTTCCCATCAGTAAGCTACAAGGAGATGGTGCATCTTGTTTTGGCGTGACATTGTAGCTCAATATTGATAAGAATGGGTCTTCATTATTTTTCATTGCCTTGAGTAGCAAACCTTTGACAGTTTGGATTGACCTTTCAACCATTCCGTTAGAGCGAGGGTAATACGGACTGGACTTGGTAAGTTTGATGTCATATTTATTTGCGAAACTGTTAAATTCTCCTGAATCAAATGGTGGGCCATTATCAGAGAATATTTCTAATGGCAAGCCATTGGCAGAAAAAATGTTTTTTAAAGTGGATATCACAGTTTCGGCAGTTTTGTTTATTAGTTTATTAACGATAACAAATTTACTGAAATAGTCCACAACCACTAGAAAATTTAAGTTTCCTAATGATTTAAAATCGATTCCGATTTTTTCCCAGGGAAATTTTGGGATTTTATGAGGGTTCAAGGGTTCCCTAGCATTACTTTTCGAGTACTGTTGACATGTTAGACAGTTGAGAACTAATGTCTCAATATCAGTGGATATTCCAGGCCAATAGATGCTTTCGTTTGCCAATTTTTTACAGGAAACTACTCCTTGATGTGCCTTATGTATTAGGGAAAGGAATTCATTTTTCAAAATTTCGGGTATGAGCAGTCTCTTTTCATAAAAGAGAACTCCTTTATGAACATATATTTCATTTCTGATAGTCCAAAATTTTTTCACAGCAGATGGTACGCTGGTTTTATGAATTGGCCATCCATGAAGGCAAAAATGTTTTATCTTTGATAGGATAGAATCATTGTCAATGGCTTCTATTAATTTTCTTTCATTTTCTGCACTAGTGGCAATCACAGAGTGAACCATTAAATTGGTGTCCACATAATCGGTGTTTATTCTGTCTGGATTGGGATCACGGCTTAGAGTATCTGCGACCTGCATTTTCTTTCCAGGAACATACTCGAGAACAAAGCTATATCTTAACAGGCGAATTGTTAGTCTTTGCAGCCTGGGTGACAAATCCTCTAATGGTTTCTTGAGTAAACCTATAAGAGGTCGATGATCGCTATGTATTTGGAATGACCTTCCAAGTAAGTAGTAGTTGAATCGTTCACATCCATATACTAGTGCTAACAGCTCCTTTTCAATATGGTTGTATCTTTGTTGTGTTGGGGTCAAAGATACTGACGCATACTCTATTGGATGTCCATCTTGTGCTATCACAGCACCAAGACCATAGGGACTTGCATCAACAGATAGTATAACCTCTTTTTTAGGATCATAGTAGGAAAGCACAGGGGTGGAAGTAACTAGAAGTTTCAAATTATTGAAACATTTATCCTGAATAGTTGACCATGTCCATTCGTTTTTGTCACTTAAAAGTTTCCTCAAAATACTAGTTGCTTCAGAGAGATTTGGAATAAATTTTGCCAAATATACGATCATACCCAAAAAACGTTGCAGATCTTTTTTGTTCTTGGGTGGTGCCATGTCACGTATTGCTTGAGTCTTTTTCTCATCAGGGGATATACCCTTATCACTGATTATATGACCAAGGAACTTTACAGTGCTGACACAAATTCTTGATTTTTCTAAATTCAGCGTTAATCCGCTTTCAGAAATTCTTGTAAGTACCTTTTCAAGGTGGGCGTTGTGCTCGTCTAAGTTTTTTCCGAACACCAATATGTCATCAAAATATGCTATGACTCCATGCACACCTTCTAGAGTCTTGGAAATAAATCGTTGAAAAATCTCTGGCGCTGATGAAATACCATATGGAAGACGTAGGTAGCGGTATCTTCCCCAATAGGTGGTAATGGTACATAGTTTGGAGCTATCATAATCTAAAGGTATTTGAAGGAATGCCTGAGATGCATCAAGAAGAGTAAAATACTTTGCACCGTTGAGCTCACTGAATAAATTTTCGAATGTAGGAATTTGAAAATTTTCTCGTTTTATATAGGTGTTCAAAGTTCTTGGATCCATACATACACGTATGTCTCCGTTTGATTTGGGAGCAATTACAATCGGGTGAACCCAATCTGTTGGCTCAGTTACTGGTGCTATCAGATTTTCAGCAACCATCTGGTCTAGTTTTTTCTTCACGTTATCTTTGAGCGCTAAGGGAATTTTTCGAGCACCACTAACATGTGGTATGGCATTTTCTTTCAATGTTATTTTATATGTTTCATTCACTTTTCCGATTCCCGAAAAAGTACATTCATGTTTTTTCAAAATATTTTGAAAACTAGGTGGATTAGCATCAATAGTTCCAATGCAATGTTCATTTTGTTCATTCATATTGATAATTTCCAACTTTTTTGCAGCTTGCAACCCTAATATTGAACATGGTTTATCTGATCTTAAAATATAAAATAGAAAGTCTTTCCTTATATTTTTGAACTGACAGCTCAACATAATTTGTCCAATAACTGTTATATCATGACCAGAGTATGATGAAAGAGTAGCTGACGTTTTCAAAAGTTTTTTTTCACCTAAATCAAGTCTCTTGAAATCACTGTTATTCAGAATGTTTACTTGGCTTCCAGTATCGATCTTAAGTTTAGTTTCATAACCCGAAATGTTTATAAATTCATGCCAATCAATAGAGTCCACACTCAAGTCCACGAAAGAGTTCACACTAGAGTCAATTATTGTCCAAACAATATGGTTTTCATGATTTTCGTCATCATGTTCATTGTTTTCACTATGTTCTGAGATATCATGCACGAATTTATTTTTGCAAAATTTCCGATAATGTCCACGTTGCTTGCATTTACTACAGTAACGATTATCAGCTATGCACCTACCTTGTGGATGGTGTCCAGCCCCACACTTGTTACATTTTTTACCTTTGTAGCTTGTACTAGCACTATTCTCATAAAAGCCCCTCTCATCACCTTCTACATGCTTGGATTTACTGGAAGACGGCCCTGCCCCTGTCGAGGTACCTGTCCACCTGTCGCTGAATTCCGATTTGCATCTGCCCGAGCCCGATCTTATTGCACACACTGAAGCACCGTCAAATTTCACAATTTCCTTCTGAGTAGCCACACTGTGTTCCATCGATCTGCAGATTTGAATTGCATCATTCAACTTTAAATCCGCATTTTGAAGTAATCTTTCTTGAATTCTTGAGTCTTTTATACCTAGCACAAGTCTGTCACGCAAGAGAACGTCTTTTTCTTGAAAATCACACGTTGACGCGAGTTTTTTCAAAGCAGTTATGAACTGATCGATCGTTTCATTCGGCAGTTGATCTCGTTTGAAAAATTTGAAATGTTCGTATACCAAATTTTTCACTGGGTTACAATAGTCGTCAAACTTTTTGATGATTGTTTCCAGTTTTCCGCTGTCCTCATTGCTCTCATACTCGAAAGTATTGTAAATATGTAGGCCTTCGTCGCCTAATAGATTAAGTAGTATTGCAATTTTGACATTGTCTGCTTTTTCTGATTTTCCACTCGCCAGCAAGTACAGGTTAAACTTCTGTTTCCAGAGCTTCCAATTGTTTGGTATATCACCTTTAAAATTGAGTTCCTCTGGTGCTCTGTTGTGGTCACCCATTATTTATTAACAAATAGACAGGTATTTTTCCACTTCACGAAATAGGTACAAGCATAAACACTTCGGCAATTTCGTTAGTGAGTCTTTCACCGTAATAATTTTTATTCGTACGTTCCGATTGTCCTGGACACAAAAACAGTTATTACCGCGCGTTTTCGAAATGGATGCCTTCAAAGGTATGGTTACTCCTGACAAGCTTATGTTGGGCACAGTGAGATCGGCTTTTCTAAAGAAAAGGCATGCTTGTGTTTTGTTTGCATTGAAATCTACCAAGTTATTGGATCCCCATTTGAGAATTGTTGCCAAGTCCATATTTATGTTGTCAACATTTCTCCCTCGTTCGTTTCTGATTTGGCTGGGTGGTATTGGAGCCCTGGAAGAGAAGGCGGTGTGGAGGGTACTATCATCCGCGAAGCTGTGTACTGGACATGAAGTTGCTTCCAACAAATCGTTGACATGGAGTAGAAATAGTGTTGGTGCTAGAATTGATCCTTGCGGAATACCAGCATTTATGATAAGAGAGTCAGATGAAACTCCGTCGACCACTACATGGAGAGACCTGTTTGAGAGAAAACTAGCTAGCAAAGAACATAGCTGAGGAGGCAAACCATGAGATAGAAGCTTGGCGAGGAGTCCGTGATTCCAGACTCGATCGAAAGCCTTGGACGGCTAAGGTCTCACCATATTTTTCAATAGATTGCTGCCATATATGTGAGAGGTAAGCAAGCCGGACAACAGTTGATCTCTGATGACGGAAGCCATATTGCCTATCGTTGGTCATACCTGAATATTCCAGGTATTTCATGAGCTCGATGTCGATAGCTTTCTCCATGATCTTTGAAATAATAGATAATATAGTGCGATCGGTCTGTAGTTGCTAGAAAGGGTCTTTTTGCTTCTTTAGGAACTGGTTGTACTCTTGCAACAAGGGTTCTGGAGAAATACAGAGAAATCCTAATTTTTTCGTACTTTCGACACACTGTATCTCAGTGAGGATGATCTTAGAACATGGTAGGAACTTTTCACCTCAAAATGAGGAATCCGTGTACGAAGTTCATCGGTCTTATTCCAACTCACCCTGTATAGTTTGATTATTTACTATTTCTTGAAGTTTATTTCGTTCGTTTCATATCTGTCTGGTCTGTAAATTTTGTAAAAGCTTTCAATATTGTTTTGTCTAACTTTATCAGACTAATTTTTCCGACTATTTAGTGTGAATGAGGATTGAATTCCAGATATTTTCATTGTTATAAAATATATATAAATACATACCTACGACGGGTGTTCATTTTACATCTGAAATGACCAAAATTGATTTTTTGTAACCAAGATTAATTGAATGTGCCCATTTACTTGCAAATCAACTTTCACTATTCGGTATGGTATACAGTTTATTTATGAAATTTATGTATATTCATTTATAATTGACTTCTAAACATCGAATGTGAACAGTATCATATTGCCTTCAAGGTTAGGTGTTTACCACTACTTAAATATTGAAATCGCATGGAATCACGGAAGTATATGAAACATAAAAACCGAATTAATTTGCTATAACTCGGAGGTTCTCATAAAATTGGACAAGACAAGATTTTTTATTAAAACGTCGAAACTCATTTCTCAGATCTTGCATTCACTGTCGCAAAAAATAATGAATGGAATGTTACGTTTTATACGTAACAAATCTATAAAATAAAGGCTATTTACAATTGCTGATGGACTTTCGATTCAAATGCATGATATATTATATCAATATTACCAACAAACACTCAACAACAGGTAGCTGCTTCAAAATCCTCAGTCTGTGAACCTTGTAAATATCGAATCCTACTCAATTTGAGTGGCACCATACATCACATGCAATAGAATATTGAATCAGCATTTATATGAGCAGGTACTCGAGTAGGTATTACAAAATCATCAGCAATAATACACCTACTTCAACCACTTGATTGTTCTGTTACCTGTGTATTTCGGCATTTATAGATTTTTCATAGTGAAAGCCCATGCCTAAAATGTAATCATACTTGAACGCTCAGCTTTGGAGAAATGTTATTGTAGAAAGCATGTTTAATTCATATTGGCAAATATCTATTGAATTTATAGTGAAATATACCACGGTAAATTGATTAACTGCATTCATGTGCCTCGGATATCAATTCTGTTTGGTAAATAACAATTTGCTTAAATAACCTCGTCACATCACAATGTCAGTGTATGAGCACCATATGGCTCGTCTCACCTACCTACGTTCAGGAAGGTAATTCTCTTCGTTTTCCTAATATTCGTAATAATCTTATTTTTAGAAATAACAGGGTTTATCGAAATTCAGTATTGAGATGATCATCAGGGCGTATTTTTCAGATGAAAGGCCTTTTTTCTACAGAATATTAAGGTTTCAAGAATTTCCGAATTTCCCTTCATTATTCTTCCAGTTTCTTAAACATTGAAACATATATGAAATCCCGAACGAAAGAAGAGGGGAAGGGGGGCGATTCCACAATGGTATGAAACGCTGGATATCTCGAAAACAGAAAGAGCTATAAAGATATAACTACAAAAGTTCTGGAACTTCATCGCCCTGTGGATCGATTAAAAAGCGTTTGCGAACACATATTCACTAAAATGAAATAGAATATCGAAATCTAGATAATGAATTTTGGAATACCCTGTATACTTCCACATGATCATAAACTGAATCAATTCACCATTGTTACAGAAGTCATGTATGAAAATATAAAAAATATATATGGGTCTTATTTGGACCTGAAAAGTAATTCCCTGAAATCTTGACAGAATTTCGAAGTACGCTGATGTATAGTTTCAATTAATTAAAAACATATAATGATCATAAACTCAATGAATGAACTATTGTTACAAAGATGTTCACGAAATTATTGCTGGAATATAATCTACAGCAATATAAAAAATGTAAAAAATAGTTATAAATAATGATGAGAATTATAATAATCATTAGCAAACTTTGAATCATCTCGTAATTCCGGCAAGATTTCTTTGATAATATTAGACAATTACTATATGAATGAGATGCTAAAGCACTATCATTCGCGAAGGATAATGATGATGTTTATAAAACTTTCATTTTATTTCAACTATAGGTTTAAATCACCCAATTCACCGTTTTTATTGACGAAATTTCCTTATCTCATAGTTACAATACAATTTAATACGTTTTTGTACTCACATAAAAAATGGCATTTAGCGTACGGATATGTACCACGCTAAATGATCGATTAATCACGGATTGTCGATCTGGGATTTATTCGAAATATTAAACACGTTACCATGGCGACACGATTTCTTAAATACATTACCATGGCAACGCAGTTCATTAAACACAGCTTCAGTAATTTGAGACATGTCTGGCCTGTCAATTGTATTAACTGTCAACTGTTATTTTCAAATTTTGTATCAGAATTATTCAAACAATATTCGTTTGTATCAGAATTCTTCATTAAAAATATATGCGAAAAGTAGACGAAAGTGAAATCGAAGAGAATGTTCTGTTACTTGCATATCTCCAAGAAGTGTCCATCTTTGAGAACAATTTATTTATTCTGCGCTAAGCATGACAATAAACGTGAAACAAAGGTAGTAATCAATGGACTGAACACATCTACAATATCACTTATACTTGTCTCGCTGGTTGCATACAGTTGCAAGTATTATGTTCTCAATTCCCATTCCTTTCGAATTATTTTGTAGGTTAGCAGGAATAGCAGGTATGTTAATGTAATTTTCGGAATTCGTAGAAAAAGAATAGTATGTAACACGTTTATGAACTCGTGCTTAAAATACTCGTTACTAAAAGGACGGAAGGCTTTAAACTAGACAGTTTGAGACAGAGGCATGAGATGGAACGATAATATTTCGATTTTACAGAGACAGAAACAAAAAAACTAGGGTGCCGAAAAATATTCTTTTAAAGTATAGGGATTCATTTCCAGTAGGAATTGCCTCAAGTTCGTTTTGAAATGACTGAGTTTCTTGAAGTTTCTCAATCGAGTATGAAGTTTATTAAAAACTTTGAGTACAAAGTAATTCATACCATGTATATTCCTATTAGTAATGAATTTTTCTTTGTTACTACTAACGCATCAACTGCCCCTCAGTCATACATACCTTCTGGGTTACAAGTCTCCAAGAGAAGATCTGGCCAATTGCAACCATGGATGCGTTCATCGTAAACCAAACCTGGTTCGCATTGGTTGGGAATAGGTTCGCCGAAAGAACACTTGATGTAGTGGACAGAGCAGGCGCTACCATCCGGGTAAATCCCGAACTGATATTCACATCCTGGACTGCTAATGGGACTCACTAAAAAAAAAGAGAATGGTTCATTATTTCTGGTAAGGATTCTAACCTACAGGGTTGGGCATATGTGTGGATACACCTTAATATTTCGAAACCGACAAATGCGATCCCAATGGAACTCGGTTCCTGGAGACTGTTTGACCTGAGAAAATCGAAAATTATATCAGCAATGTTGCCAGATTTCTGTTTATTGCTGTGCATGATTTTTTAAATGCAACACCCAGTTTATTTCGATGGCATTCGATTACTGATGCTTCATTCAATAGAGTTTCTGATTGACAAATTTCAATTTTGGATATTTTCTAAGATTTGGCAAGCCAGCATTTTTGAAAAAAAGAATGAGAACTCCTGGATATCTCTGAAACAATAAATGTTATATCGATCAATTTCAGTACCTAGGGCATGTTCGACCTGAGGATGTTGCCAGATTTCTTTATTTTGCTTTGCGTAGCCACCTTTGTTTTTGAAATGCAATACCCAGTACATTATCACTGCATTCAATTACTGTTGCTTCATTTGATGAAACCTCGAATTGACATATTTCAGTTCTGGATATTACCTGAGATTTGTCAAACCAGCATTTTCTCAATGAAAGGATAAAAACTCCTGAATATCTCCGAAACAATAGATGTGATATCAATGAATTTTAGTACCTGGGGGCTGTTTGATCTGAGGAAGTGAAAAATTGTATCGGCGATGTTGCCAGATTTCTTTATCTTGCTGTGCGTGGCACAAATTCGAATTCTGGATATTCCCTGAGATTTTATTGCAAACCAGCATTCTCGTAAAAAGGGATAGGAACTCCCAAATATCTTCGAAACGATGGGATAGAATATGAATCAATTATTGTTTTATCTCATCATATTTCTACGACCACCGGTCACAAACACGCCAAACTTTCAAACAGTGTGAATTAGGAGAACAGCAATACGAAAAAAAATACAGGGTGATCTATTCTATTAAATAGCTGACCATGTGAAGAACAGAAAAACCTCGTCTTACAGATTTTTTATCACTACCGCATTCATAGCAAGCTGGCATTTCATAAATTTAAAATATTCTTGCCAGTAAAATATTATCATGGAATAATTTCGTAGTCTGGGATTTTTGTAAATGTAGTACCAGAAATCGAATGTAGTCCTCAAAAACTAACTATCGCATGCAAAAAATCATAATAAATTTGGCAATATCACTGACACTATTTTTGATTTCACTAGATTCCCAGGAACTGAATTCCATTCAAATCACATCTTTCGTTTCGAAGATATTCAGGAGTTTTCTTTCATAATCAACCATTTCGTAAAACGCTGGTTTGTCAGATCTCAGGAGAAAACGGAAATTGAATTGATATGATTAGTAAATGAGGCATCAGCAATCGAATACAGTAAAAATGAGCTGAGTGTTATCATGAGAAAAATTGAGTTGCGATGGGTACAGGAAAATATGAGAATCTGTCAACATCGCTGATACGATTTTTCACTTCTTCAGGTCCCAATGTACTGAAATTCATCGATTATTGTTTCGAAGATATTCAGGAGTTTGCTGGTTTGCCAAATCTCAGAAATTATCCAGAATTGGTTTGTCAATTTGAGGTTCTATCAAATAAAGCATCAGTAATCGAATGCAGTAATAATAAGCTGTATGTTACATCAAAAAAAAAACAAATTTTGTGCCACACACACGCACAGCAAAATACAGGAATCTGGCAACTTCGCCGATACGATTATTGACTTCCTTGGGTCAAACAGCCCCAACGAACTGAAATTTATCGATCATTGTTTCAGAGATATTCAGGATTTTTTATCCTTTTTTTCAATAACGCTGGTTTGCCAAATCTCAGAAAATATCCAGAAATGGAATTTGTCAATTTGAAGTAGATTACTTTGTGGTTTACTTACGATCCGCTTTCCTGTGTCCGCAATCCACTGCCCAATTGTAGTTGCAGTGGTTGTGGACGTTGCCTTTGCCGTCGAATAGTAGGCCGTTCTCGCAGGTTTCAACTGTCAAAGTGCCGTTGGTGCAGAGGAAGAACAGGTTGCAAGACTCCGGATGGGCATAGGCTTGCACTCCGTGTTGCTCCGGACAGGAGGGAGCATCTTGCACCAGGACACCTGCTTCCGCTAGAAAAAATCGCGAAATTTGAGAAAATCGTTTTCTTTTCGTGGACGCTTTTTCTTCAAGGAGATATCATTTTTTTGGCCTTGTCCAGGAGTTACGTACTTTTAGACTAGTCCTTTTCAAGACTGGGCCGGGAAGAATCCCATCGTTGCTATCATTGTGAATATAAGAATCTTGGTAAATGCAGTTGGTCATTACCATAGCGTCGAAACTAAACTGCTCAACATTGATAACGTCGTGGTCAAAAAAATAGCCTGAATTTAAAGTAAAATAACTCACGAATTTCCTTACCAATTTGAAATCGGTTTTCACCGATAATTAGCCTAATCTCTTGACAGTTTGTTGTGGCAATATGAAACTTCTGTATTATCAGATAACATTGCTACAGGGTGATAATTGAATGGGTGTAAAATTGCATCGTGCATTGCACCTTACCGTTTGAACAGATATTTTTTTCTATTTTTTCCACCTGTATCCTCTTGATTGATGCTTTCTCTCGAAACGTTTTCGAAATTTTCGAATTCAGAGCTTTGATAACCGTGTTATGAATATTCATTCAAAATGATGCATTTTTTCGACGATTAATTGAATGAAATTGGAAGTTGGAATTCTTTTTCGAAGAATCAACCTTGTATGTTTAGTCGACGGATATGTGATCGTGTTCGAACACAGAAAATTCTGAAGTAGTCTATACAAAGTGATACAAGAAAAACTGAATGATGGAATGGAGAATAACGTAGTCTTCAGTAGATGAAACATATTAAACATAATGTTCTCTGTGTAACTAGTGAAATAATGGAGTGTTACTTCATCATGAGGAAGTCTGGTGTCTGACCTCGAAATGGTTTTGTAATTTCTCGGATCGAAGGTCATATAAGGAAGGTACGCATTTTTAATCAATATGATGCATTTTCATTATGATACATTATAAAATTAGAAAAATTACGATTGTAGTTCCAGAAGCATAAAATTTATTATTATTCTTAACGATGCATATTTATACAAGCTGCTATAAAAAATATATCCAGATTGTCCCGGGATGAAGAACAATATGTTTAAACGTGATGAAAATCGCTATATTCCGAAAAAAAAATATAATGTCGGTCATTGTCGAAAATTGTGGAATGTATGAATACACTAACTCTCCATGAGGTTCATACGAGGAAATATGAAAAAGACTGCAGAATTGCCATATATTCCATAAAATGTTTTTCATACTAATGTAGATGAATACAGTAAGTCCTCATGAGGCTTATACGAAGAAATATGAAAGATACTACATATATTGGAATGAAAGTCAATCTAATATACAATTAGGATTTTTTTGACGTGAGAAAATCAAAATCCCAATAATTGTAAGTATAAGTTGGGCAAGCTATTTTTCTACAACAGAATTCGTCAAATCTAAAGCAGCACACTGAATAACTATGAGGAAATGCTATGGTGACAAGTATGCACGAATATATGGCAATTCTGCAGTCTTTTTCATATTTCCTCGTATAAATCTCGGAGAGTTACTGTATTTATACATTTCACAATTTTCGACAATGACCGACACTATATTTATTTTTCGGAATATAGCGATTTTCATCACGTTTGATCATGATCTTCTTCTTCCCGGGACAATCTGGACATATTTATTATAGCACCTTTGTATATCCATCGTCAAGAATAATAATAAATTTCATACTTCTGGAACTACAATCGTAATTTTTTCAATTTTATAATGTATCCAAATGAAAATGCATCATATTGTTTAAAAATGCGTACCATCCTTATATGACCTTCGATCCGAGAAATTACAAAACCATTTCGAGGTCAGACACCAGTCATCCTCATGACGAAGTAACACTCCATTATTTCACCAGTAACACAGAGAAAATTATGTTTCATCTACTGAAGACTACGCTATTCTCCATTCCATCATTTTGTATTTCTTGTATCACTTCGTATAGACTACTTCAGAATTTTCTGTGTTCGAACACGATCACATATCCGACGACTAAACATTCAAGGTTGATTTTTCGAAAAAGAAATCCAACTTCCAATTCCATTCAATTTATTGTCGAGAAAATGCATCATTTTGAATGAATATTCATTACACGGTTATCAAAGCTCTGAATTCGAAAATTCCGAAAAATTTTCGAGAGAAAGCATCAATCAAGAAGATACAGGTGAGAAAAAAAAATCTGTTCAAACGGTAAGGACCACGATGTAATTTTACACCCATTCAATTATCACCCTGTAGCAATGTTATCTGGAATACAGAAGATTCATATTGCCACAACGAACTGTTGAGAGATCAGGCTAATCATTGGTGGAATCCGATTTCAAATTGGTAAGGAAATTCGTGAATTTGTTATTCTCCTTTGAATTCAGGCTATATTTTGGACCACGACGTTATCAATGTTGAGCAGTTTATTTGGTAGTGATGTAGTAAGTTTCAAAATAGTAATTTACATAACAAGTCCGGAAAATACTGTTTTTTTGGACGATTAGACAAAATTCTAGATCGAGCCGTAGGCGAGTCCTTGAAGTATGCGAGTCCAAAAAAACAGTTTTTGGACGTGTTGCGTACACTGTTTTTTCGGCAACCACGTAGAATAACAAATCATGAGACACATTTCCAAATTATATTTCTTCCTAGAATACAATCTCTTCTTTATTAATTCTTATTTGTACCAAATACTGAAATTTGAACAGAATACCCGTACCCACTAACTGTTACATTGGCAATTTCGTATGGACATTTTCAAACTCACTATCGCAGCTGCTTTCGATAGTTTATTGCGATAATTGCAACAAAACTTTCAAAAATCAAAATGTCAACTTATTTCATGTCAAATAGCTGTCAGCCGGAATTTCGCTGCTATGGTAATTATCATCTGCATCAAAACTATATCTATCAAGATTTTCATAGTTACAGTGACAACGACGATGTGATACTTCGCGGCCTATTCCTTGGAAAAAATCTTGCATTTCTGTCCCTTGATTTTTAATGTAGTATTAGTCTGAGTTTCACTGATTAACCATCGGAAAAAATATGATAGCACGTATTATCGTTAGTTGAAAGATTAGTGACCAGAATGTGAAAGTTTATATGTCCATTAACAATTTTGAATAATTATTGAAGTGATTTCTTCAATATTGGGTATGTTATGTCATTGCAGAGACTATTATTGTGTTTAACATATTGAATAGGCTAAATACAAGACCAATTATGATCATAATGTAATAACCTGTCATTAGCCTACTTGCAAATTAAATGCAGAAAATGTATTCATTAGTATCACCAAGTCATTGGCGGAGTATATTTGAGAGGATTTGCCTTGGTCAACTCCAAGGTTTTTGGGAAAATCAAGAATAATTTGAAGTATCATCAGTCATTTTGATTTCGAGTCGAAAATATCTGCTCTCCCGATATAGCCTGACTGTGACTGAAGAATTTTCAAAATTCGAAAAATATGAATACTTACTATCGATGGTCATTGAAGGATGTGTCTTTGTTGTCTTCAGTAGATTCGATCACATGAAAAACTGTAATCTTATCATCTTTTTTTTATCTTGAATACGGAGCATATCCTATTGAAACTGCTGACATCAGAAGAAGAACTACACAGTGATGATATTCTGTTCAACTGAGATAGTTATCATCAGCTAAATGATACCTAGTACAGTTACCAAAAATCATTTCTTACTGAATAGTAATTCACTAGAATCTAGAATAACAATCTCCAATTTTCATCAAGCGATTCGCTGATTAATAATGGAAAGTATATACGCTTTTTTTCTGCTTCAATATGGAAATAACCTTCACTTCAAGCACTTTTATACCTACTCTATGGTATTTCAATAGTTCGACAAGCTGACCATAGCAAGAATTAGATCAGTTTGATCATGAATAATTTCATGACAAGAGGAATGTTTAGTTTCCATTTGTTGAAATTGACAAATAAATGGTCAAAGTTTGGGTTTGTTGTAAATACACCTTCAAGAGGATTTGATTGCAGAGAGCAGGATAAAATACACCCTTTCAAGCGTTCACTAATATAGATACAGGGTGAACCATTGAACAATTGAATGTCAACAAAAATGATTACTTGAATTTCACTAAGATATTAAAATTTACTCTTCACAAACCTTCCATTTCGAAAAATATCTATTTTATCGGCGTAGGGAATTTGGATTGAATGAAATCAATTTCCGAACAATATGGTACTCGACTTACCGAAAGCGGCGGCAAAAGCAAGAACTGCGACCGCGATCACAAAAGATCTCATGGCGACTGCCTTTATCCTTGATAACTTAATGTTAAATAAACTGCAGTATCTTTGGCTGCCTTCAACACTTTCTATATGCCCGATCAACGCCACAGAAATGGATTATCCGCACCGCTAGTCAAAGCTCACCTGGTGTCCGTTTATTATGAACAGCGGCGTACCAAGCATACAGGGTGTCACAACGATATCCGACCAGGATAGTGGGAGTGCCTAGCGTGTATATTCCGCACGTCCACCGATGGGACTATTCAAGAAGAGCAGAATATGTCGAGGCTGGAGGCACATACAATGAGACAATTCGATCATCAAAGAATGTTCATGATGCCAAAATAAGATCAACACTTGTTGAATGTCCAAACGGATCCCGTTTATTTTGGTCCTTCGCCGAAGCTGTAGTAAGAAACTTCACTTCCAGCTCGTTTCCTCCTCTAACCAAGGAAGATGGAACAATAGCCACAACTGCCCAGGAGAAAACCAAAATTTTCGCGCCATTTGCTGAAGATTCCACTTTGAATTCATCGAGAAAACTACCTCCAAACATAACGCCGATTGACAGTCATATGCCCGAGATCATCTTTCGCCAACGTACTATGAAGATGATTTTATTGGGTCTCAACACCAACAAAGCTTGTGGCTCCGACGGAATCCCCCCGATTGTTCTCAAGAAATGTGCTCCCGAATTACCACATGTTCTCTTCAAGTTGTTCAACTTCCCTTACAAATTGGGGAAATTCCCGTCCAACTGGAGAATTGCAAAAGTTCCTAAAAAAGGCAAAAAGACCCTATCTAGCAACTAGAGACCGATCGCACTGCTATCTATTATTTCAAAGATCAAGGAGAAAGCTATCAACATCGGGTACATATATTTCGTCAGATCGTATTGTATCAAAACCGTATTTCATCAAATCGAATTCTATCATAATGGCATTCTGTAGAAACTGTACTTCATAGAACCAATAATTCATCAAAATATAAAGGATCATAATGTATCTCATCATACAGTTAAACGAAGAAATGTACTTCATAGAGAAGTAAAACATCATACCTTATTTTTTAGAATTGGTAATCCATCATAACCGTATTCCATCGAAACAGTAAATCATCAAAATCGTATTATATCGAGACAATATCGTATAGAACCTGTTGAGCATCGAAACGGCAATTCTTCAGATCCGTATTCCATCAAAACATCAATCTATCAGAGTGAACACTTATCGAATTTGTAATTCAGCGAAACCGTAATTTGTAGAAACCGTAATTCGTCAGAACCGTATTTCATCAAACCAATAATCCTGTAACATGAAGATTTGCCTTTTCATGTTCCATAGTGTGAATTCTGAAAATAGGTAATGAGGAAGCTTTGTAGAGATGCACTGCGTAACTCAATGATTTCTTTTCTAGGTTTTGAGGTACTGTACATTATTCCATCTTGTTAAATGTTTTCATTTTCAATGTCCATGACTGGATGACAGTTAGGTTATGTTAGTCCACTTCTTATCCAACCTTACACATTTGTCAGATGCCCATGAACATTGTTGTTTACATCATAGTCTCTTGCCAGTAGAAGACTGTTTGTCGCGTTTAGTGGCAGTGGCCTGTAATGGTGCAGGGATATTCGCAATGTTGTATCGACTGGTGAATCGACTAATGTATCGACTATCGTATCGACTATCGATGTCATGATCGATATTTAATATTTCTTTCAAGTTGCATCCCTGAATTTGACTTGAATCATATTATTTGGGTGGCTAGATTGACACTGCGCAGAGACGGATTTTGGGTTGTATTATTTTTTTTGAATAGATCACAAGTGCTCTGATTGACGGAAACTTGTTATTTGAGCAATTTCCGTTTATTCATCCTTCTTGTTGATTCTTTCTCTTGCGAAAAGGTTTCATGTGCTGAAGCCAAAATGAGGCCCTTTTTGATTTTGACTCTCGTGCGATCAAGTCAGGTGGTAGACACCTACTTTTGTGTTAGGCCTTTCCGATAGGAAGGTAAGAAATATTAAATCTCATTTTGTGTGAATGATATTCGATGGGGTATCTACATTTCAGATATCACGGCCTTATACAGGGGAGTACGGGGTACAGATGTGGAAGATATAAACTCCATTTTCTTTTGACCACATGCTATGTTTCTGGACTTGAATTGAATTTTACCAATCAACACTGTTAACTGGATGGATCACTAAATATCGAATCTCATCAACTATGGGCATTTAGAAATCTTGAACTGTTTTCTGGACTTCACTGTTTGGACATCACGTGACACTTTTTTCGATGGTTGAGGCACCTGAGGGATCTTCGTGCTTTGAAGCCTGAGTCACCAGCACACTTGAAGGTGGAAGCAAGACCCTGGTGATTTCTTGTGCATGTCTCTGGGCATCTATAGGACCCGACAGCCTGGAATTTCTGGCAGAATCCTTGCTGCCAACAGTGCAAGTCCCTAGCAGCCCTTCTCTGGTTTAGATAGCCAGTGATCCTGACTTCTGACAGGAAGTCCAGGGGAGTCCAGACTCCCGGTATGGTTGATGATCCTTAATCCCTAGGATTTTGTTACTTTGGAGCCTGAACTCCCAGAGCCCAGTCAGATAGTGAGACGTCCTGGTCCAGCTTGGATGGTAGGAAGAGCTTGCCCTGGTGGCAGCCTGTGGACCCGTCAGCCAGAGTTGCAGTGCAGAATCCAGTTGCCCTGGGATACACCAAGTGCCCAGGTCTCCAGGTGGTTGTGACTCCTGTCAACTGTGTGGGGATCCAGTTTTCCTAGTACACCTAACCCCTACCGCCGACTGAGGGAGGAGTGTCTTTGTTCATCCAGGTAGTGAGATCTATTGGACCACAGTTGGAATCTCATGGTTCAAAATCCAGAACTTGCAGCTAAGGTCAGAATATTCCATATATATACTTTTTTCCCTGTCTTGAGGACATTTCACTAGCATATTTTTTCCCTGTCTGAGGACATTTAACACGTACTTTTTTCCCTGTCTTGAAGACATTTAACATACATATTTTTTCACTGTCTAAGGACATTTAATCTACATATTTTTTTCCCTGTCTGAGGACATTTAAATAGTTATTTTTCACTGTCTAATGTCATGAGATATTTGAACACTTGTCAAGAACACATAACAGTCTAAGATCGGATTTTACATATTATAATAGAATTATTGGGTCTGTTAGAGACTCTGTGAACCCAAAGTATAGGCCTATATGAAGGGAAATACACCCTTGTACTGAGTTATAAACATAGAACATATTGAGTTATAAACATAGAACATATTTACCACCGTTTTGAATACCTATTGTTGGCATGTTAAGGTGAATAAACCAGTTAACAGTTATTTTGGCTTATAATTATATCTTGGATTTTTTTCTCAGTAATTCAGCTGTGAAAACTGAGTGGCGCCTGACAAAAGGATAACCCCACTAGTGAACAATAAAAAGAACTAACTCACGACCTGCTCCCAAACAAGCGAGCTGCCGTGTCTATAACAAATCAAAATCTCTTTCTTTTACAAAACATCAAAAGAGTTGTTATAGATAATTGGCGCCCAACGTGGGGCCCGAACCCACGACCCTGAGATTAAGAGTCTCATGCTCTACCGACTGAGCTAGCCGGGATTTTTCTTTACCATTTGTAATACAATGTGATGCATCAGACACCGGTTTAGGTGGTGTACTCACTCAAAATCAAAATAATGTGGAAAAGGTGATAGCTTATGCTTCAAGAAGTCTATCAAAAAGTGAAAGAAACTACAGCACAACTGAGAAGGAAACCTTAGCTTGCATTTTTGCCTGCGAGAAATTTCGTCCATATGTGGAAGGAGTTAAATTTACTCTAGTTAGTGATCATGCATCCCTTAAGTGGTTTTTTAAAATGAAAAATCCCACAGGCAGACTTGCTCGCTGGAGTGTTCGGCTCAGCCAGGTTGATTTTGACATTGCTTATATCAAAGGAGCATTGAATGTAATTCCTGACATTTTATCTCGTAGTCCAGTTGATTCACCTTTGGAAGACTCTGAGAAATTGAGTGTGTCTGAAGAAATTTGTGTGATGAATGAAAATTGCATTTCCTTAGATATTGATTTGACTAAGTTAGATTCATTTTATGAGAACATTCGCACAAAAATTCTACTTAAACCTGATGAGTATCCACAATGGTCTGTAAAAGAAGGTTATGTATACAAGTTAATTCCGTCAAAATTAGATATGGACTCTAACGTTTCTGAGTGGAAGTTGTTGGTTCCCAAGAGTCAAAGAAAACAAATAATATCTTCATGTCATGATCCTAGTACTGCGTCACATGCAGGTTACCACAAAACATATACTAGAGTTGCTCTTACGTACTATTGGCCAAAGATGAGGAGAGATATAACCCAATACGTGAAATCTTGCAAGATGTGCGCTTCACAAAAAGCACCTAATCACTCAAAATTTGGACTAATGGGTACTGAGCGTAGTGTACGTTTTCCATGGCAAGTGATAGCCGTAGATTTAATGGGACCTCTTCCCAGAAGCTCAAGTGGTTTTCAATACATTTTGGTAGTATCTGACTGGTTTACTAAATATCCTTTGATTTGTCCTTTAAGAAATGCTACTTCTAGCAGTATAATCAAATTTTTAGAAAATGATGTTTTCCTAGTTTATGGAGTGCCTCAGCATATAGTATGCGATAATGGCAGACAACTTATAAGTAAATCCATAAAAAAACTTGTTCAGGACTATGAGTCTACGTTTCGATATACGCCATATTACCATCCTCAGGCTAACTATGTAGAACGAGCAAACCGTACCATCTGTACAGCAGTCCGGAGTTATGTAAATGGAAATCATAAAACATGGGATAAAGAGTTGCCTAGAATAGCATATGCTATGAGAACTGCGGTACATGATGTGACAGGTTACAGCCCTGCCTTTTTGAATTTTGGACGTGAGGTTCCCTGTTCAGGAAAATATTATGGAAAAGGAGATGTACAATTAGATACAACCAGTAGAGA